GTGTGTGTGTGTGTGTGTGTGTGTGTGTGTGTGTGTGTGTGTGTGTGTGTGCATGCACACAAACGTGTGTGGTATAAAGCATGTACATTAAAATTCCCTTTTACTGCCCCCTTCCTCCCTCCTGTGTGTTGGCTTGGCGTCTCCCACCAGTCTGTGGTATGGAGGGCAGAGAGAGGGCCCCTCTCTCATGTCACTGACTGGAATTACACTTATGGTCATATAACAAGACTAAATGCACGAGGCAGAAATTGAGGTTTTCCATTTCAGGCAATGCTGCCTCATTGCTCAGCCTGGGTCTGACATTGCCTTTAGATATGTGTAGAAATTATGGTACTTGAGTGCTGGATCTAATATACTTAAAGTGTAGGAGTTAAAATTGAATTGCTTTGTTTAACAAGTTGTGTTTTAAAACAGAGATGTTTTTAAAGCAATCTGCTACAGGTACTTGAAACTCATATTAAGAAAGTGAGCAGGCAGTGATTTTCAGTCTGTCTGAAGCACAGATGCAAGCATTATCTTGAACAGGATATTTTTAACTTCACTACTTTTGTTTTCTTTCATGATTCAAAAGAGGCTTAAGCACTCCTGCAATTTACAGGATGTGGCTGTGTGTTTGAAATCAGGAATGTTGTCCCTTTGATATGCCAGAAAGAGAAACAGTTCAGCAGTGATGCTGAAGGGACCCGGATGACACAAGTGAGTGGACACACATATGTAGGATTTGAAAACTGTTTCTGTGTGAGTGTGCATTGCAGTAATGAGTAAAACATACAACACCCATCAGGATCCAGGTAAAAAAAATCTAAATAAACAGCTTCTGTGAAAGCACTTGAGTTCATGACAAATTTTCCCAAGCGGGCAATAAAGTATCGTATCGTATCGTATCGTATCGTATCGTATCGTGTCGTGTCGTGTCGTGTCGTGTCATATCGTATCGTTCATTTATAGCAAGGGAATACACCAGAATTTCTCTGAATATAGCTCTTTTCACATTGAACTTGGGTGGAGTGTATTTCAGTTTCTCTTGAGACAAACAAACATTACAGTGAATGAAGACTGAATTCCATGTATCTGAGAAACTGTCATTGTTGACACCTGTGCTCTTTCTGCTAAGATAAGTCAGATCATCTGCTATGAAAGCTGAAATTTGGATGGATCGATAAGAACTGAGGATTTCCAAACAGGGTAACCTGCCACGAGTGGAAAGGTTTATAAGCAGTTTAAAGGAAATGATGTTGAACAACTTCAAAAATATTTAGACAGTAACCCATTTTAATTTGTCATTAAAACAAAACGTTCCATACTTTTTATTTTCAATCATCTCACATAAGGAAACAATGAAGTGTGTGACTGGGCAAACACACTTACATGCAATGTCATTGTATGGTATTTAGGAATGTCATGGGGCCAGTTGGTGGTCGCGATGCTTCAGTTGCAACACAGACTATTTCTGAAATGACAAACAACAATCTGTTGTTATTATGTCTTCCCCAAAGCAAGGCGTCATATCAGAAAGAATGGCAACAGAAGCAGCAGGCTCGTGTTTTTGTTGGGCGGCATGCTGTCGTTGACATTAGGCGTTCAAGTACACAGTGTTCTTAATTGGCTGAATAACTGACTATTTTGCTCTGCTGGTGATGAAACGCTGGAATCATTTCAATCTCTTATTATAATTATTCATCTGTTGCTGTGCTTCTGCTCTTATCGGCACATGTCTTGAAATTGGGTTTATCTGGGTTTTCAGCTACATGAAGCAGTAGCGTGGTCCTTGACATGTTCTGCTACTTGGGTATTATTGTTGTAGCTTAAGAGTATATGTGGAACAGCTGCAATCCCTGCTGCAGATAGATAGATATCAGAACCACCTTTAGAGAGTGTATAACTTGAAGTTTTTTGTATTGTACTACATCAGTGGAGGAATTTTGACCACTCTTTTTTTTTTTTACAGCGTTGCTTCAGTTCATTGAGGTTTGCTGGCATTTATTTATTTGTTTTAAGGTCCTACTACAGCATTGCTGTTAGGTTGATGTTTTCACTGGCAGAGTCCATTGCAACAACTTGAATCATTTTAGGCCATTCCTTTGTAGATTTGCTGGTGTGCTTGGGATCACCATTGTGTTGCATGACCCAACATGGACTAAGCTTTAACCGTCAGACAAAAGGACTCACATTTGACTCTAGAATATTTTGGTATTCAGAGAAGTTCATGGTCAACTCAAGGACTGCAAGGTGCACAGGTCCTTTGACTGAAAAATAAATCATCACCCCTCCACCACCTTGCCTGACAGTTGGTATGAAGTGTTTGTGCTGACATACTGTTTGGTTTCTGCCACTCATGGTGCTATGCTTTATGGCAGAACATCTTGTCAAACACTTGGTCATATCTGTCCAAAGGATATTCTTTCAGAAGTCTTGTGGTTTGCTCAAATGCAACTTTGCAAACCTAAACTGTGCGACTGGTATCTGCTTAGAGAGAAGAGGATTTCTTCTGGCAACTCTTCCAAACAAGCCATATGTATTTAGTCTTTTTCTAATTGTATTGCCATGAACTTGCTAACTGAGCCCTGGAGAGTCGGAGAAGTAGCTCTTACAACCTTAGGATGAATTTGCTGGGAAGACTGTGGCATTGTAGTAGACTGTCACTTATACAGAACCTCTCTACTCAAACTTTTTAGTCATTCTTCCAATCAAACACAAATTTATATAGTATTTTTACCTATACCTAAGTACTTTTATCTAACATGAACACACAACAGATACATCAGAGATAAGTCAGGGTTTAATATGTTGCTCAAGAACTACTGCCTACCTTCATAGACGGCCTGCTCTACCACACAACCTGAATGCTCCAGACCAGTAAACTGCAAATACGTCTGCTTTAATAGATATGTTCACACACTTGCTGTTGATCCCTGAAAAAAATGCATTTGATAAGCAGTATTTGGGTGCTACTTAC